GTGTTTGAAGTGCGCTCCAGCCCCCCCCACCCACCAAAACCCCTGCATGTGCCCACTCCCCTCCACCACACACACACATACACACACACACAAACACACACACACACACACACACACACACACACACACACACACACACACACACACACACACACACACACGTGTATAAGGACTAAGATTGCCCAGTATCCAAGTACTGGAAGATTACAGAGATGTAATCTTGTCACTTTCAAAAATGATTATGATGACATTATTTTTAGTCCCGGTGCTTCTGCGCAGCACGTCAAAAAATGTGTATAGTATACTGCAACTCATAGCTAAAATAAAAAAGATTTAAATATTGTACAATGTATTAAAGCAACAAAATGTCCGATCAAACCACATCAACTTCTCATACAAAAGTTTGCCAGCTTAATGCTAAAAACAAAAACAAAAAAACCCTACATTCTAAGTTGTAGTGGACATGCATTGAAAAGGTATGATCAAAAATGAAATATCTTGCATTTTGTGCATATTGAAAATAGCAGTTTTGCCATACATCTGGTTACAAAGTGTGTGGCCCAGTATGCCCCATAGTAGAACTGATGAAAAAGTGTGGCCCCCCCTCCTAGGCATATAAAGCGCCTACACTTGAGCTATACTGTATGTTCCAGTAAATATGCTCTAAGTGTGTGTGATGTTGCTGTGGTATCATTTCAGTACCTGTATCATGGTACTTTCTATGACTTTACAATTAAAGTTAGAATTTTGGTAAAAACGATGAAATGCACATATCAATACTCCAGCACCACAGAATGTTACGAGCAAGGGCCTGTATTTATCTGTAATAACATATTGGGGTTTATATCAGTAAACAATAGCGAAACATAAACTGACATGATGTGATACTTGTGGACACCGAAGGTTCAAGGTGGATTATTTGTGTCCGTGACACCACACCACTGTTAGGTGACACTAGATGTGCAATGTGCCAGTTACTACGACGGTGTCAGTGGCACAGCCCTGGGAGAACTCATCACTGAACCTCCCTCGGCATGGTTTCCATGGATACAGAACACCTCCAACAGTCATGGCCACTTTCCCATAAAGGTTAATTAATACAGAGTTTCCACCTCGCTTCAGCTGTCCTCACCTTAGATGCCTGCTGAGTGGACCAACATAGTTGGTCACATGACCGGACAGCGGTCCGTGTTCATGACCAAAGGTTATGGCAACTCATGCAGTTGCCAGTCTAAATACTTAACAGAGAATTCGTGCAAGGGTCAAAACAATAACGTGGTGACTTTTTCATCAGGTTGAAATCCACCCCAGCAAACACGGGTTGTCATGACAGTAAAGGTTAACAAAGTTGTCCTTTTAACTCCACCTTGAAAATGAGCTGGGATTGGAACTTGGATTGCAATTGGGAGCAAATGAGTCTGAGTAGCACTAACAAAACAATCTGGTTAGCCATTTTTAGACCTCTTCGAAACAAATACCCATAATCAATGGTGCAATGTGTAATATATAAAGAACAAAAAGTAAATAAATAAGACTGAGCCGCTGGCATCAATTACTGATAAAGGCCATCTTTAAGCTGTCGACCTAAATCTGATGACAACAAACGCCAACCTGGTCATACTGGGCCATCTGACGTCTGCTGTCATGCTGCTTAGATACACAGGATTAGAGCTATTTTCCTGCCAGCAAGCTTAACGCAATTTTAATAGAATGCCTCCGAAACCTACCCTTTGAGCTCTTCAGCAAACCTGTACGCGCATGTCTTTTCAACTTAGATGGAAGGGAGTTTAAATATCATGACTCATTGTCTTATTTCAACAGGGGGGGGAAATATTGCGAATCTTGCCAACTGCGGTCGCCCTTGTCTGGATTTGTTCCTAGGCGACTTTAAATGCAAGAAGATACAGTCGAACAGGAACACTGAGCTCGCTACTGCATCCAGTGTTGCTCATAATGTATAAATAAAAGTTGGGACCTTTGGGGTCTTGAGAGGCATGCAAGAGTCAGAGAGCCCGACTAAAGCTGGGCCATGAAAAAAAATAAATAAATCTTCAGTGACAACACTCAGTTGTCATACATACAGGGAAAGTTGTCCTCGCAAGTCTGGAATCGGCGTCTAAAGCATATTGCCTCTCCATTTACTCTCTCATTCTGTGTGATGCGTGTGTTAGTATTATATGAACTCCCCTAGTGTATACATTGAAAATGACCTTCCACATCCGTTAACATGTCACCTCTTTGGTCGTGGCACCTGACTTCCATCTCTTCCCCCAACCATGGGACACCATAGCGCCAACAAACTGCTCTACAGTTTAAGGGTGATTATCCATTATCCTTGAAAATGTCAACCAATGACAGAAAAGACAATTCGATTTTTAATTTTTTTTTTTTTTTATGCCTACTCTCTGCCACATAAATGTGATAGGACAAGCATGGTGATGGGGAGGGCTAAAACATTCACCAACTCTCTTCAACTAGTTTTCTTTCCTATCTCTTCTGATATACAAAAAGAGCTGTTGCACAGTAAAGGTCAGAGAACCTTTAGCTGCTTCCAAACATGAGACGCCCTCATGAAAATTTGACACGGACGGCACAGATTACAGATCTAAGAATGTGACCTTCACTCCCCCCCCATCCGCGTGACCTCCACATGAACATACTTGCCTATGCAGCCTGCCCTTTTATCTCAAAATAAAAGTTCCTCAATGACCTTCATTGTCATGAACAATAATCCGTTGAAAATGTATGAGACCAAACATAGGAATTTATAATGGAGGGAAGCTGAAGGAAAGTCTTTAAAGTCAAGGTCATTTATGTGACGAAGGCTTTTGCACTTCATACAACAGCTGGTGTCCATACAAAAAGCTCTCGGCGTTAATAAAAAGTGACAATGCTGCCCGAGCAGTGTGTACTAATGTCTGACACCAGCCTGGCAGATGTGTTCTCCCTGTTGTTCAGGGAAGTCAAGGTTAAAGGAATTTTAAAAGGAGAGGCGATGCCTGAACACCAATATATCATGTAATCTGCTGCCCATCCCTGCTGCACACACAACAACGTAGCCAACTTACACATGCAGTGTGACCGCTGTTTGCAAATTCAATATGGCATGGCATGATTAAATAAGGCAAAACAGAAGCTGCTTGACCAAATGCAGTTCTTCAAAGAGTGGAGCGCACCACAGAGAAATGGAATGAAAAGCTCTTGTTCACCTTGAGAGGGGAAGGGGGGTGGGGGGGGGTAAACAAGAGAATACCTTGGCATCAAACAGCAGGGGAGCTTGGAGAAGTAAATGTTTTTGTAACAAAGGTCAATCAGGACAAAACAGCACAGAAATTCAACCACAGGCAAATGCATGGCCATGCAATGAAAACTAGAGCGCTTTTGATCGGGCCGTGAGATAAATGAATGCTGTCATATCAAATTGTGTGTTACATTTATTTGCTTTGACCAATCAGATGCATCCTTACAGGCGTGTCACCATTCAATAGGAGAACAGTATCTAGGGGAAAGGTTCGAACGCGCCCGCGAGCTTCGTGAGTATTAAGTGGTTTCGGATAACGGATGGATGGATATTACCATATATTATGAATAAATTGAGCCTGCTTATTTCGCCACGTTAAAAAAAAATATTTCTTTCATTGGATGATTAAAAATTTCAGTTTTTAGGGAGATGGTAAATATCGCAATAACATCGATTTGATATCAACTCCCATTTCGCACCGCCATGTTTTTCCAATATTGTGTATCCCTGCTTCTGAGCGATGTTCGCTCTTAGATGCGCGCGTGAGCAATTGTGCACTGCTCCCACCCTCTCAGCGCACAGCAAACACATGCAGCATGATATCAAATGACAAATTAGATGACCAAACGCATATACATTTTGTGGACACAGAAACCAATGACTGAACCCCACATAAATTAAAACAAACAACAAAAACTGTTGATTGTGTGTATAAAAGTAAGGGAAGTTTCATCCATCCATTTTCTGAACCGCTTCATCCTCACAAGGTTCGCAGGGTGTGCTGGAGCCTATCCCAGCCGTCTTCGGGCAGTAGGCCGGGGACACCCTGAACCGGTTGCCAGCCAATCGCAGGGCACACACAGGCGAACAACCATTCGCGCTCACACTCACACCTGACATGCCTGTTTTTGGAATGTGGGAGGAAACCGGAGTACCCAGAGAAAACCCACGCAGGCCCAGGGAGAACATGCAAACTCCACACAGGGAGGCCGGAGCCGAGATCGAACCCACGTCCTCTGCACTGTGAGGTCGATACGCTAACCACTGGACCACCCTTCAGGTAAGTTTGTAAAGTCAATTTTTTTTAACTTCCTCTGAACCGCTCGGTATGAAACGTACTAAGTTTGAGGGTAAGGATTTGGCAATTGATGCATTCAGATGAGTCATCTGAATGGGACCCACATAAGTAGTGATATATAGCACCCCCCAAAATACCCCTCCGCTTCTCTTGACCGGTTTGGAACGATATTCTTACAAAAACATTTGCATCTATAGTAAATATTTGTGTGCCATTTGCAAGACCCACCCAAGGGCCATTTCCTGAGTGGCTGCAAATTAGTGCATTAATTAAACACACACACACATTCTTTCTTAATGAGCCGTGGCTGCCATCAATCGCGACGTGATTTATTCCAATTGGACTCGAGGTTATCTTTTACTTACATCGTCTTTCCAAAATGGTGCTCATTTCCCTTCTGATCCAACCCAAATTTTCCATTTGGAAACACCGTAGCTAGAAATAAGAAGAGCCGCTTTCCCCAAAGCCAGCACGCCTAAAGGCAGAGCGAGGCATTTTGATGCAGACTGCAGCAGTGATGTCGGAGGGAAATGGGCCACTTTGCAATTGAGATCAAATGTCCCACTGCCAGGCTGCCCTGAGAGCAAGGTAAAACCAGCTAAAATCCTTGGCCTTTAATGAATCATTTTCATAATATCCTTGGCATCAGCCCTTAAGAGGCCTTTTGCCATGAGTCAGCAAGATGTCCGTCTTTATGAGTATTGCTTCTTTTCCTCCCCCTTTTTCCTTGAGTAATTTGGGATGCGCCGAAGGAGTATCTTAGGCAGAGGTCTAAAAGACAGGGGAAAAAAAGACAGAGGATATATTTTGACATATTTGCCTTTTTTAAAAAAAAAAAAAAAAACTCAATGATTTTGTTCCGTGTGATGATAGAGTATGAATCTGTTGCCTACATAGGTTTGGTAAAATGATTCCCCCCCAAAATTTGTTCGGCTTTCACAAGAGCGACAAGTCCTAGTCCATAGGTGTCAAAGTCAGGTCCTGGAGGGCCGCTGTCCTGCATGTTTTCCAAGTCTCCCTGTTGCAACACACCTGATTCAAATGAACAGGTTCAATGTCAGGCTTCCGCAGAGCTTGCTGATGATCTGATCATTTGAATCAGGTGTGTTGCAACAGGGAGACTTGGAAAACATGCAGGACAGCGGCCCTCCAGGACTTGAGTTTGACACCCCTGCCCTAGTCGGTCCCAGTTAAAGAAAATTAATTCAAATGGATACATTTAACCCAATCAAGTATGTAACAATTACTGGTAACCTTTAACAATAAAGTATCAAGCGGCGACAGTCCAGCTGGCAAAGCGGAGCTGAACCCAAGCCAATGAACAGGAGACTTCAATCAGATTAGTGCTGCGTCTGATCCCGATGCTCGACCCAGTACTCACACACCAGTAGCTTTTGAAACCAAGGAAAGAATGCCCTATTTCTTCGGACACTGGAACAGAATCTAAATTATTAACTAACGGAATAACTACATTTTAAATGCAAGTTTGCAGCTTGGTGATAAAATAAGAGTGTGACATATTGTACATCTCTCAGAATCTGGGTTTAATTTGCGATGTTGTTCTTTGAAGACACGTAGAAGACTTTTTTTTTTTTTTTGAAACACAACCCACCGAGGTTCATAGTTAGACCCATAGCAACGCGCTTAACAAAAAAATGCTTTTGTTCGGCAATCTCTGGCGAGTGACGTCACTTACAGAATCACCAGTCAGCCATTGTTGATTGTCCCATTAAGCTAATTGTCATGTTACCATTGGGCCGGCGTTACAGATCACACAAAACCCGGACAAGGAGATTCAGGGACAGTTTTTTTCCTAGAGCCATTACTGCAATAAATAACCATAGAAAATAATCGAAACTACTGCATTTTAAACGAAACTCACTTACTCACTATGTGCAATAATGAGCAATATCTGAGCCATTTCATGTGCAATATGTGTCCTGTGTGCAATATAAGCCTCAGTTCCACACTACCACAACTACGACCACTACTGCTGCTGTTGTTGTGTGTTGTAACCCGTTATTTTAGTTTTTACTAAATGCACTAAGGAGTGGCACCCAAATTTCGTTGTATGTAATACAATGACAATAAAGGCGATTCTGATTCTGATAATCAATGAATAATGCATTTGTTTCTGAAAACTTTCAATTCAAAGTATTATAATTGTACATGGATGTAATCCTGTACGAAAACATTGAAACTATATGAGTGCATGGGTGGCAACCTCTGTAATGGTTTACAACTAAACCTGTACGAAAACATTCAAACTATATGAGTGCATGGTTGGCAACCTCTGTAATGGTTTACAACTAACAATGCTGCCGATATAATGTGTGGCGGGGCCAACAACGCAACATAACTACCTTAGCAATGACAATGGAGGACACCAACCAAAGATGATTTGTGCTCTCAGTGCTTGTGGGAATACATGGCTCAAGTAGGTAATCCCAATTTATAGCACGGCACAGCATCGAATTGCAAACAATAACGCTAGGCTAATAATTGCAGCCTATATAGTTTACCATTCTTCCAATTCCTTTCGTCTCCACTCCATGTTCAGCCGTTCAGGAACAACATTATCCGCATCCTGAGCATCCGGCTCGTACATGTGTGGCCCAAAATACATCTTGCCAACAACCGCCTCTTTCTCGAACTCTTCAAGCACATGGATGCCCTCAGGTAAATTTGAAACGTCACTTTCCAAATCAATTTCTGACTGTCTTTGTACACTTTCCATAGTGAGCCCTGCTATTGTTGTCTTAAAGCGATGTCACACTTCTGGGTTTGACACTCGTCAGGATCTCATTTCGGGAAATGTTATCAAATTATTTTTTTCATCCTTCAGTTAATGTATTTTGTTTCATTACTTGTGACCTCACAGTTGACCTTTAAGCAATCTAAACTAGCCATTTTCATGAGTAAACAGTGATTTTGAGTATAATGACACAAAATGTGTTTGCCAATCATTAACCTTGGACAAGGTAACTTGATTACGTAAGAGTTTATCATGGAGATGCCCTTCAGACTAAACACAAGTCAATGTCCAATGTTTCCTATTTGGGGCAAAATAAGTAGATTCATCATCCATCCTCTCCGATGCAGAAACTGAGTTCGCCCTTTACTTTGCCACATCAATAAAGGGGTAACCCTTGATCGGCTATGTTCCTCTTAGCCCTATACGAAATATTAGTTGTAATGTAATTTATGAGAAAGGACAACAGATTAAATGATAAAATTACGGACAACGTGGAATTCAGAATCAGTGATCTACATTCCAGGCCAGAGAATGATTTATATAGTTTAGAATGCAGTACAGTTTGCAGCAAGGAGACATGTACAGGTTTGACTACAATCTGCCAGAAAGTCAAATACTGTACAGGATATCCTCTTTGTAACCTTCAGTGCTGGATGGAGACCAATTTAGCAAACACGCTTGAGAATAGCCACTGAAAGGAGAGCAGATGAGAATTTATATTTCATATTTGTATTTCTCCTTTTATTTAAATATGGAACGATGGAAGACTATGGATTTCTGGTGCCTTTGACCAAGAACTATACCTGTAGAATCACATTCACCAGGAATTAGACTTGACAGTGCTGAGAAAGAATCAAAGCAGCTAGTCAACCACAGCTCCATTGTTTTTGTTGTGGGAGAAAATTATGAGTTAAAAAAAGAAAAAATACCAGTGGAACATGATACCAAATAATAATCCACATTATCTACTGGAGGGTTCTCGGCTAGTCATTTGCGTTTGACAAAATGTCTTTTATGATATATCTTTTTTTTTTTTTTAATATAACTATCAATTTGTTTGGAAGAAACTTCTGGGCTCATCACCATGTCGGTCACAAGTCTTTCCTTTTTCATAACACAACAATACAGCTGGATAAGCAGAGGTTTACAGCAACGAACACCTTCAACTGGATATCCACATAAACACCAAGGACTTCAGGTATTGAGTGTTTTCCCCTTTAACAGTCATTGAGTGTTAAATCATACAGTGTGGCAGACAAGGCCAGCGCCCAACTGCAGTCAGACGATTTATTTATTTTATTTATTTATTTTAAATGAAGAGGAGATTAAACTGAGACCGAAAACCACGCAATGGTGACCACAACAAAAGGTGCTTAGAGGACAGGTAAAAATAATGCTTCATGAGCCAAATGCTAACATTTCCGATTCTACTCTGGTTGGCAGGTGAAGACACACATCATGCTCCCGTACCTTGTCATCCTTAGCAGTGGAGGCTGATACAGGTAAAGTGCAGTAATCAATTTGCTCTACTGGCAAAAGTGCCCCTTTAGAATACTAATCAGGCTTGCACCCTCCGCTCTTGTTCTCACTATCCACCCCCCACCCCACCTTTCCTCATTCACCTTTCTCATGACTTGCCCCCACCCCACCCACGTGCCCCAGACCTGACCAAACGCTAAAGCAGGGCGAGCTGTCTTCTGCACAGATAACTGCTGCCACTAATCAAGCCTACGTGCACTGGGGCATGGGATTAAAAGAGCGTGCGCAGCTTGACTTAGGTAGTGAATGGTTTTACATACACATACACCCGAAGCGGGTCAAAATACAAAACTACAAGAGCGCCAGCAGGGTGCTCGAAACACCCACATGCAAAATGCAACACACAAGGTCGACTTTGTAAGCTAATATTAGGCGAGCATTCACCGGTTATAAAAGAACACACATGGGAAGATTAAATCTAAATTTACTCAGCCGGTCAAAGTGGAACTCGGCGTGAGCAGCCCATCGGTTATCAGACATGTCGCACAGTGAACCGCAGTATGTCGCGAGTCAAAATTTGAAATCGACAACTGTGGATTGACGGCCACGTACTTGCGCATATGAGGTAAACCGATGGGGTCCAGTTTGATTGAGAGAGTGAGACAACAGCTCCCGACGCATCGGCGGGGATAGTTCATTATGTATAAAACGAATGCCATTAATCGCTCTTAACAAGGGGACACAACCTAACCTTGGCTGTCTCGCAGAACGGGGTGAGGGCATGGAAATATCTACACTGAAATTGAAATTCATCACATGAACGGTTCGCCCTATCACTGTCCGTGTCGGAGCTCGGGGTGAAAGTATGGGCAAGCCAAAAGTCGTGCAGAAGCTGCTTAAAACACATCATTCTGATTTTTTTTCCATTTAAGAAGAGGATCAGAGGAGCTGCAAATACATTCACACATAAATGCCGCAGTGCTGGGGGCGCATGTCCTTGACATCCTGACATGGGCAGAGGGAGGGAAAGGGAAGAGGAGGCTGGGCCGATCCTGTCATGTCACACTTGTCATTTGTCTGATCACCCACCCACCTAGCCACCAAGCCCAGCCACCTGGCAGACCCCCTCCCATCCTCACCCCCACCTTTGTGCGACCTCGTCCTCCGCTGACCTGATCCCCCCCCCCACCTGTGAGCACAGAGCCCGCCCCCGCTGGCTCCGCCCCCTCTGCAGTCCTCGCACCCCGTCTTCCCCACCCCCTTGTGCTCTGCTGCTCCCCCCTCCCCTCCCCATCCGCCTCTTTCTCCCCCGCGGCTGTGCAGCAAGGTCAGGCAGGTCACAGTGTCCTCATCTGTAATCCGCTGCCATTCGTCAGCAGCCCCAGCCCAGGAGGAGAGAGAGGAGGGTAGGCGCTACGACGAGGGGAGAATGCCCAATTAGGCAGCTGTCACACACACGCACGCACACACACACACACACACACACACACACACACACACACACACACACACACAACAGAACATTACAGAGTGAGTGAAGGAGGGAGACTGCAAGAACCTACTGTCCACAGGAGGGAAAGAGAGGGCTGAACACTTGCAGCTGCAAGTGTATTGGTTTGCTGTGAAGGAGTTGTGGGGGTCAGCTACAGTTTAGACATGTATGTCCATTATCTGAGGCCTGTCAACAAAACGGGCAACAAGGTACCCTGGACGTTCTGGGTAGACAGTAGCGCGATGACATTTGAAGTCAAGCAGATTACTTTTGATAAAAGGAAACAAGTGTTGAGCATTACCTGTAACGACAAGCCGAAACAGATGATCGTGCAACTGTGGCTGGATGCTACTTAGATGCGAGACACTCAGTGAGGCTTTCTATGCTCCGGTTGGCCATGAAAACAAAGGTCAGGTCAACATGTACCAAACTACAGTGGCCTGTTAAGATTCTCTTCAATCCTTAACTCAGAGCAGATACCAAATGACTGACAAATATCCTATAATTGGATCATCTATCACCTGTAAACAGACATCTGTTTTGAGTAACGGCGAAACTAATCAGCAAAAACGATACTGATATGATTCCATCACATGGACGCAGCAGGAAGATTTATGTTACAGAAATTCATTGCTCAAGCCTGTACTTATTGATTGCACAGTCAAATGCTCTTATTTACTTTAATCAAAGGAAAGCATTATCATGGTTCAATGCCAGCTGAGTTGATATAGGGGGTCTGATTAAAGACCTTGGGGCAGGGCGGTACTGTGGGGTGCAGAGTACAGCAGACGCTTTTCCTCCTTCTATTCCCAAAGTTCATGAGGGTTCAGAAGCACTTCAAATGCGTCTTTGAGTGCTTGATGGCCAAAAGGATTGCGGCACAAGTGTGGGGGACACTTATCCAGTAAATCCTGTCTGAGAGGAGGACAGTGAATCGAGCCTATAACTAGACGTAACACAGTGGATGTGAATGTACTGTGAGACGAAAAGACGAATTCCACATTTAATGGTCATTATTTTTCCATCGGCATATCCATCTTATTCCAGCGCCCCATCAGCCTTCGTGTGAAATAGGTGCACAACTTCTGGCATAGCGAAACCGTTTTTTTTTTTTACATGGAAAATGTTTCTGCGAATCCAACTTCTATGACAGTAACAGACTTTAACAATGTGGGAACGCAAGTTGTTCCATTTTATAGTAGAAAACATTTCAATCCCGCTTAATGGAGCTGGGTTAAAGGACATAAAGAGGCAGCAGGCGGGCTACAAATTTTTCAAACAAAGATTTTCAGACTATATTTTTACTGTGATCCTCATCCCCGGGAAGGCGCTGGAAACTAGCGTTTATCACAGCAACATTCTTTCCTCGTCCGGGGTGCCAGTTCAAAATATTGCTCTTGAAGTCTAGGGGTGTCAAACTCATTTTTGTCATTGGCCACATTTTAGTTACCGTTTCCCTTGGAGGGCCGTTATGACTGAAACCAAATTTTAAAAAGTCAATAATCACGGTTTATTCCACTATTGTTTAAGTTACTGTCAACAACGGGTTTGGTTTCAAGAAAATGCTTCTAATATGTCTCTTATTGATTACATGTGAAAATGTTAAATTTTGGCCGAGATTTTCGCAGGCATCATGCAAGTTGACATGCTTGATTTGCTTCCGCAGGCCACATAAAATGACGTGGCGGGCCGGATCTGGCCCCCGGGCCTTGTGTTTGACATCTGTGTTGTAGTCAGTCACATATTCAACTTCTTCTGCTTGTTAGTCCAGCCGCTAAAAGCACATGTTCCCAAGATATTACGCAAGACATTTTTCAATGCGATGGGGGCTTATGAGCACTTCGAAAAGGGGACGAAAAAATTTCAAATCAGCCACCCCATGATACGAAACCCGCTGTAACAAATAGCAAAATTCTTTGCAGAAGTCGCTCAGCACAAGTCAAGCACATAACCGTTTCGGCATGAGAGGTCTCAGGAATAAGGTGGATAGACGTCAAAGCCATTAGAAGCATGTTTGTGGAATAATCAGACATTGCAATATTAATGAACATTTTGGAGATTCATGTGCACATTTTTCGTCAATGACAAGGTTTTCAAATAGAGTCGAATCAAGTTCTTTGGAATCCTCAAGAACTTCTCGGGAATATGCAAAGAATTTCTTAAACGTCTGCAGGGCTGCAGTATCCATCTCTGTGATTATTATTTTAATGACTCATTGACTACGTTTACATGCAGTCAATATTCGGGTTATTGGAGAAACAATTATAGTTATGCTCAACGCGGGCCCAGTTAGACAAGGACATTTAGCAACCGTACGACTGGTACGAGACACGTTCAGCCCGAGGGTGGTTGCTGTTGGCTCAAAGGTGACTACTGTTTGTTCTAGCGTAAATGCTATCCCCATACATTATATCACTTAGGTTGGCCCTTGTGAAGATATATAAACTGTGCTGTACACCAAACAAATGGACTTCCACTCTCACAGCCAATGCGTCATGGTGTGATTATTTTCCACAAAAGGTTTTGGGTAAATATTCCTGTTTCTGAAAAATTCTGAACAACCCATTCAAAAACATGAGCGGACAGAGTTAATCATGTATGCATGTTGTGATAAATTGTGATATCCCGATCTAAACCGTGACGTACAGATAACGTCACAACGCAAATAGATTTCCACTTCTTAATTTCTTCCGTCAAATATGACACATTATATTCATGTAACTCACAACATTACGAAAGGAGCCGGTTTGCAGTTCGCTGAGTTCTGCAACGATTGGCAGTTTTCATGGGTGGACGACTCTCAGCAATTATTTTTGCTGCCATTCGACATTTGATTCACAAGTGGACTACGTCCCAATGTTGCATATGAAACAGTCAATCAAAAAAGCTACGCTGCATCACATGAACAAATGTGATTTTCCAGGTCTGAAGTGAGATCCAAACAAGAGCCAAAAGTCTGCCACCAAGCTGTGTCAACACAGTTGACAGTAATGTCCCTTTTTTTTTACAATACAAACATATTTAAACACACACCACATTGAATACAAAAAATATTGTTACCTGCTATTAAAAAAAGAAGAGTCACAACTGTGCTAACATTGACCACGAAAATTAGCAAAACCACGAGACCAATAAACATGAACAGTTTTTTAAAAAATGTACTATACAAACATATAGGGCTGGGAAATATGACTGAAAAGTATTACATATTGATCAATAGATAATTATTGATTTGCTTTCCTTTTTTATTATTCATAAAAAAGACCCGGAGGAAAAAAGGTTTAGATACTTTTATTTTAACACAAAAGATTTAACCTTAAATAATAAGTCAAAGCAACTCTGAAAAAGTCAAATAAACGGGTAAATATATAGATTACATTACCGCTGTTTTACAAATAATGTGATCAATGGGCAGGGTGATATGGCGAAAAAATGTTTCACAATATAAGTACTTCACATCAGTTAACATAGATTTTTTTTCATTACATATAGAGAGAGAGAGAGAGAGAGAGAGAGAGAGAGAGAGAGAGAGAGAGAGAGAGAGAGAGAGATTGAGACACACAGCCTCACAATTATACGGCCTCTCCTTTATTTCTCACCCGTTTACTATATTTGTATCAATACAATCCAGCTAAAGCGTCCAGGGCATTCCACTTCTTCCTTGGCAATCAATCTTTGTTGTTTGTGAATCAATCAAGAATAAGACAGTGAAATTCAGTACCATTTATGTCAGTGATGCTCAAAAGCAAATCCTAAAGGGCCACTAATACATTTTTTCAATGAGTTAAAAGTCCATTTATTGAGGTCAGTGAGGCCACGTTATAATACTGAAACATTCAAAATAAAATCTCTTCATTCTCTGTAGCCAAAAACAAATCATGACCCATGTCGTGACTCTAAAACAAATATATCAGGAGTGGGGATAAGAACGCTATTCTTTTTGAATATAAGCACAGAGAACGACAAAAAAGAAGAGACTATTGGGGCTTCACACTTGGGAGTGAGGGAAAGAAAATCCAAATAAACGTATGCAAGTGAACCCAAAGATAGGATAAATAGTCACAAAAATAAAGTGATTACATTTGCAAACGACCTACATTTGTGGAGATGAATGTATTTTCCTTCACAATGAATGATTTTGGAGCCTTTTCTGCAGGGTGCCTGTGTATCGTTGGGATGAAGACAAGTCCTGTTCAACATGTGCTGACCCAACCAGAACACAGTGAAAGGAGGGTGGGGGGTG